ACTTCGGTTGCACCGAAGCTTTAATACCCTTCAAAAATACAAGAATTTGATTTTGAGCCTTCAGCTTGTATGGCAGCTATGTATATGCTTGACTGATTCGATCTGAACAATTTTTTCGATGATTGCACAGTTGCCTTAAGCAATAATCCACGCCGAATTTCATGAAAATATCTCGTCAACTAAAAAAGTTTTCCGTACAAGGACTTGTTTTCGATCGTTCAGTTTGTATGGCAGCTATATGCTATAGTGGTCCGATATTGTCGGTTTCGACAAATAAGCAGCTTCTTGCAGAGAAAATGATGTGTGCAAAGTTTCAGATCAATATCAAAAAACTGAGGGACTAGTTGAGCGCATATTTACAGACAGACGGACATGACTAAATCGACTCAGTTCGTCATGCTGATCATTTACATATCATATAAATTTTAGAGGGTCTCCGACGATTCCTCCTGGGTGTTACAAACTTCGTAATAAATTTAACTTATCAAGTTCAGGGTATAAAAATTGGACAACGGCAGCAATTATTCGAACGGGTTTCGGATAAAAGTAGGGTTGCGGTGGCCCTCATAACTTGGTGCTGAATCAACCGAAATCAAAAAATCAAGGTTCATTACTTAAATAATAGTTTTCCCAGATAACGTTGAGACGATTTTGCGATTTTTCAAATTTTTTAATTTTTTTGAAGCGTTTTGAAGGAAAAATGTTTGCCGAAATTTAAAAATAGCCCTTCGGCCTTGCCTCGTAAGTTATGTACAAAAATAGTGTCTAAAATTTTAAATGGATCGGCGCAGTAATTTTGACGTTACGAAGGGCACCGACTTGGAAAACGTGAGCTCTGGAGAAAACGCTTTTGAAACTATTACTTTTCAGAAACATTACGGCAAGTAGAGTTTGAGAGCGAAAAGGATGATAACGATAGAAACACAATCAAAAGTCTAAGGTCACACCCCTTTTTTGTCAGTTATTTCGCCAAATATTCGCTTTTAAGATAAATATGCTAAAAGTAAGCTTTTCCGGTCGTGAATTTGTACGAAAAACTTAATGAGTATTTTAATTATTATTTCGACTCAAAAGAACCTAGATTCAGTGAGTAAGAAATAATAGTTTTGTCAAAGAGACACCTCTAGTATCTATGAGAGCACTCTCGAACACACAATGACAGTTAATTAACCGGCAAATAAGCATACAAATATAATATATGTATATTCTTTCAAATGTAGATATGTTCCCATCTTCGTGCTTGGTTTGCTTTTAATGTTTAAATACTATTTATACTTGTAATAATCCCCAAAAAGTATAAGCCTTAATTTATCACGATATATATCGTAACTTTAAATTGGGCACCTAAGTTTTTAGACTCCTATAAAATATAAATTATTTTCTAAAATAAAACTTAAGATTTTACTTGATCATTGCAATATTATCTGAGTGTGAAAGATTGAATCGACGTTTCAGAAACTAGAAACAGAGTTAATGCGTATTAATGATTGAATAACCTTGGTAATATCTTTTTTTCGTATAGAAAATACAGTATTTTAACGCAAAAATCGTTTACTAAATCAAATTTTTATATTTCTTATGTGGCATTACCTTCAATCTGTTTCATCGGGCTCAGCCCGCCGGTGTACGGGGTTGCCCAATAATCAGTTGTATAACAACCGTAATCTGCAATATTGGTACTTAAACCACCGTTATCCATAAACGACATTGTAGAAACCATAGCGGTGGCACACTCGTTAGGTCCCATAAAATTCGTAACGGGTCGTCGATAAATAGCCTGATGCATAACAAAGCTAAGAATTTCCAATGTAAATCGCGAAAAAAATTGGTTTACACCAACAGCAGGTTGTACTTGTCCGCTTACACTTTTTAACAATCAATTGCAGCTCAATTGTTTTATACAGATTTTGATAAATCTAATTTGATTTCATTTCAATTGATTTCTTTGAATAATTTTCACACTTAGCTTTTCGCGCACTTGTCAAATTATAACTAAATTTCGATTACTCTTCGCAAGTCTGGGGTGCAAATGAAGCTGTATAAAGAATGAATTTGTGGGTAAATCATTTCACATAGAAAACACAATAAAAATGTCGAACACGGAATTTGCCAATTACACTTTGCGTAGCATTTGGTTTACTTTTCATATACCTATATACCTATTTTGTGGTACAACACATTTATTTGGTGTTGATTGTTGCAGACGAAATGTCTAGAGGTGTTGAAAAGTTTCGTGAACCCAAATTATCTCGACTATTTAGAACGGCAAAATTGAACAGCGTATGTTGAACTTGCGGCAATTTATTATTATTATTGTTTTTTTTTTTTTTGGTATTAGAAATACTTCGCACAATTTGTCTAAAATTTGTATTTTTGGTTTCTTTGCGCCGTGCAATAGATTTCAGCAATCGCAATTAATCTTTATAGGAAATCTATTGCGATCAATCAAATAACACTTCTTACAAACACAAATTTGTAGAAATCGCTACAAAGCCAACATATCCATCACACCCGTTTCACACGACCACCGTTGATGTGTCGATGATTGTTGTGGCGCTACCGACTTGCGAATTGTATCTTGACATTCTTGTTTTCAGCGCGTTCACCTCTTTAGCACCGCAATTAAACTTTCAACTAGTCACACCACGTTAAGCGCGAACTGATGGAATCGCTTCTATGGCGCTTCAACAGTGTTGAGCCATTCGTTTGACACCTTGTCGACGATATAAATTTAGAAGATGCAAGAAAAAAACATATATACGAAACACAAAAAAAACAATCCGTAAGATCTGGGATTAGTTTACGGCGCGTAATAATTAAATGTGTCTACGTGTGCCGGAAGTTCCGTGTCAAGTGTCCGGTTTTGCGTAACGAAATTTCCGATTTCACTTTCCGCATTCACAATGTGTGCTGTGCAACGAGTTATAACAGAATAACGGCACTATTGTTGTAGATTCAGATTAAAAGACGCTGCGATGCGCACATCTCGTCTGTTTTTCAGCTGCGTTAAATCGACTAAGCGATCTCCACCAGAAGATATTTACATAAACCAATGATCGCAGTGTTTGCGTTCTCAAATGTTGTGTTGCATACAGCCAAACATGCACACACAAGTGTACCCTTGGGTATCTATTTATATTAACATAGGAAATGTGCTCTGTGGCGAAGGATCGGTGCGATGCGGAGCAATTTTTATTTGCTTCTTCGTTTGTTCGAATTGTTTTTAGAGTGTTTTGACTTTTCAACACTTTTCGGTTGGCTAAAATTCCTGAACCAATCAGCAGATCGATATTGCAATTGGTGATTTTCGTTTGCGTCGGCGCTGTTTAGAGGCACAGAGAGAGTTTATTTTGTAAGAAAAACTAAATTAGGAACAATTGACTCCAGCTAAGTGGTATTACGGCGTTTTTTTTATTTAATCATATGTTTTCTAATTATGTGCTAAGCATATATCGATACATATAGTTAATAAGCTTAGCTTCAAAAGAGTTTTAAACTTTTATTTCGATTGACTTGGATTGAGCAATCCAATAATTTTTGGCATATAAGAACGGTTCATTTCAAGAATTTTTAATTTGCCTTGATATAATCCTTTGTGAACCAAAATTATATTTACTTTGTAAACAAAGACAACAGGTCTTCCACATTTTTTTTAGTTTCTACTGAAATCTGCAGATTGGAATTGTATGTTACGCTAGCCTAATATTGAAACTGAGGTATACTCAAAGAAAAAATTTCGCTGTGAATAAATCTGAGCTGCAGGGCCACAATCAATTCTTTTGGGTATACTTTTTTGATAAAAAAAATAATGCTGCAAATTGCATTCAATAAGTCATGTTGGTCCAACTTGTTAAAACATTTAATTTCTTTTAGAGCAAAAAGTTTATGTTGCCTGGCAATGCGGCGTGCTTTGTTAAATGTCTGGACCAATAATATCTCTTGCTGTTGCCCATATATAATATTAATTTGTTTCTACTTACTTGCCCATTGAGTGTGAAACATCTACATCATATTATTTACCTGTAATCTGTGCACATTATTTTAAGAGTTTAATCTCGTTAGCTTTATAAATTTGTATGACTATAATTATAAATATTAAGTTAAGTAAAATTCATTCCATCATTTTTCCAATAGTAATCTGTATCGTGGGTTTTATAAGTGCCACATGGCGTTAGAAAGATAAGATTTCATACTAAGCTCAAACGGTTGTGTGATTGCTTGACTCGATATTGTTTGAACACTCGTATAACATGGACACCAGCAAAGAGAAAATATCTCATATTTTACATTTTATCTTCAATAAAGACGAAAAAGAAAGCTAAGCGACTGGAAATGTGAATAGTGTTTATAGTCTTGGTGATAGGGTCAATCATGCGCAATTTTGGTTTAGCCGCAAAAAATCTCGTAGACCGAATTTTCATCTGCAAATCGCTGGTTACTGTAATGTCCTTTTGCTGGTGAAAAATTCGCCTCAAGAGAAGCCAGTTTTTCCCCAATAGGGTAGAAGGTTTCTATGCGTAACCTTATGAAATTTCCTTCAAAATCCCGTTATCGAATAAAACGGTGCATATTTCACCTAAATCACATAATTCGAACTATGCTAAATAAAATTTTCAATTTAATGCAAAAATAATGGATTTCTTTTTACTAGACATTATATTTGTGAAGAAAGTGGTGGAGATATCACTTAATATGTATAATATTATTAGTATTCACTTATGTTTGCACGATTGCTTGAAGTTTATGTTCGACCGTACGGTGTTGATTTATTCTTAAGCTGTCTTCTCGAATTCAGCCATGACCTTATCAGCTGAAACGATGGAGCTTCTCTATAGTGTAATGGTGCTATCCAATGAATGCGTATTTAGCATTTGAATTTTTCAGTCAACAAAGTATTATATATAAAATAAGAATAAAGCCACACTAGATATTATAAACTATATACATAATTTGCTTGTTGAATATTTTAAAGATTTATTTAATATTATTTTTATTTTCAGCTATCATAAAAACATTTATCTAAGCACCAGGTGAGTCACACTTTTTATATATTGTTAATATTTACATAGACATTTCAGTTGATTTTACGACGATAAACGAAATACTTTCACACTTAGTGTCCACATATCTGTTAATCACTGTACTTTATGCCGCATCGCTTGTAGCATGAGCACAAAATTTCTCTCACGATCTCGCTATTATGCTCTCAAATGCCACTCCGCCCACAAGCCATTTGAAATAAACTAAAATTTATATCTTCTTGCGCTGCCATTCGTCACACAGTCCAGTGCTTCTTACATATTTCGCTTCTTTATAGCTCATTTTTAAAGTGCACATGGCCCTTCCATGCCGCTAGTGCAATTGCAAACAATCGAAATTATTATATTTAGATTATGGCACTGTATTGCTATAAAACCGAATCACCCCATAGTTTAGGCACTAAATTCAAATCTAATTGCTGCAATTGAAATGCCATTTGCATGATCTGATCGCTGCGGCGAGCAAAGCAGAAGGCAATGTAAAAGTATTCCTCATACCCGCTCATAGCAGCTAAAGCTTCTGCTTTTTAGCTACTTGTATAATTTTCGATTGTGCTCGGTAAACACATTGTTCGCTGGCATGCCGAGATAACGAATGACCAATTCACTTCACTGCGGGTGCTTTGATTATAAAATGGTGTATGTAGCCTGCTAGTGGTGGGTACCTGAGCAAACAACAACACCGCGCGAACCAAACGATCGCCACAAAGCAATGGCGTAGCCAGGCACTCAGACAATCTGTGGCTTCTTAATTATGTACTTTGTTTTTGTATTACTGTTGATTGTTGTTTTTCTACCTTGCTTTAGCTGAGCAGTCATTCATTTTGTTCTTTTGTTTTTGTGTTTGTTATTTTGTTTGATGCCAAAATTTAATGCAAGCAGCTTTGTTGTTAGTTGTTATTCTTATTCCCGAGATTTGTATACTCGTTACAAAATAAGTTTCCAACAATTCCTCTGGCATAAGTTAGTGCTTCTAGCAGAAGAGGCACAATAAAAAAATAAGAAAGAGCAGCGAAGTAGTGATCTGGTTTCTGTCATCGACAAAATAATGCAAGTTTGTGATTTTTCTATGCACGTCTGTTTGACTGTTCTTTGTTGCTACTTGTGGTTCTGGTGATTGTAACAGACCCTGATATGCTTCCTTTTGTGTATGTGATTTACCAGAGAATAGCAATAGAAATTAAAGTAACAAAACACAACTGCTACATAATCAATTTCTCGAAATTTAAGAAATTAAAGTCATAGAAATTGTTATAAATACAGAGTTGCATACATACATACATACATTCAAATATAATATACTTATAGATGGATCGATAAATACCTATATATTTGTGGTATGCATTGCCTTTTACTCGCCATTACGTCTACCGCTTAATAATTCATAGGTTTAGTGTTGTTATTTGGCATACTCAACTTACTTTCTTATTCTCTCGTTTTTCTTGATGTCTGTAATTACCTAAATACTCGAAGTATTTGGCTGTTTTTAATCATCTAACAATATTTAGTTTTATATTTATTAATAGCCGAATTTTAATAGCTGTCAATATGCAGCCATTAATTCTTTCTTATAACCACACTTGCTAATATACATACATACATACATACCTACTCATTTCAGTATATGGTAGTATTTTTATCTTAAAATATTGTTGCGAAAATATATTTTGAATATATTGTATGTGAATGTATTAAATGTATTTACTTAATTTTCTTGAAAATACTTTTGTACATATAAACATATATTTAGCTAATTTACTGTTTTTAACCTTAAATAAAGCAATGTACATCTTATACTAGAATAACAAATATTTATTATAGTTATACATATATATATATATCTCTTAAAGAACTTCACCAAAAATACAGAATTACAAAATTATTTTCGTTTATTTTTATACTCTTGCAATATTTTGCTACAGAGTAAAACAATTTTATTCACCTAACGGTTGTTTGCATAACCTAAAAGTAATCGAGATAGATGTGTAGTTATATATACATATATAAATTATTAGTATGACAAGACGAGTTGAAATCTGGGCGACTGTCTACCCGTCCGTGCAAGCGATAATTTGAGTAAAAAATTAGATATCTTGATGAAACTTAGTACACATGTTTCTTGACACCCAAGGAGGATTGGTATTCCAGATGGGCAGAATAGGATCATTGCCACGTCCACAAAAGTCATTAATCGAAACCTATAAAGTGCCACAACTAATCTTCCCAATAAGATACAAAGCTGTTATTTAGTACAACGAGTTGCATTAGGTAGAGTCATATATTTTGACTGAAAACCCATATCTCGAGACCTACTTGACCGATTTCAAAGAAATTCGCTAGGTAATATTATCCTGATATTTCTATGTCATAGAACGAAATCGGATAGCAACCACGCTTACTTCCCATATACCATAGTTTCAAATTTTATTTGATTCTTTCACTTTCCAGTATACAAATCAAGAATCAATCAATATATCCGGATAAAACTTTGCACAAATGGTACCTTAAAGATGCGCCACTTGATAACCAAAAATTTTCAAAATCGGATCGCAAATATTCAAGCCCCCACATACAGAATATGTAGAGACCAGTTCCTATTGCAGATTTTTTTATCGAAAATATTGGCCATCTGTGAGATATATAGAAATTCGGGGAATATCTTTTACTGATAATAGTTTGCCTGCATGTCAAAAATAAGTTGACGCGGTTCAATCAAAATTATACACGAAACGATAAGAGGACAGTAAGTTCATTATGTTTGTATCAAATGGAACGCTTTATTTAGCATAGTTAGTAAGATCCGATTTGGGTCAAATATAGAACTTTTGGTTGTTGGCAGAGAAACTCTCGTCCCTGTTATTGAAAAACTGGAACATTCGATTTGCACAAGAAGACTTGAGTCGAATTTTTCACCAACAAAATCATTCGCCATACACAGGAGCAGGTAGTAGTCGTGTGGCCAGGTCCGAACTATAGGTTGATGTTGCCGAAGCTTCGGAAGAGTCACTATCCATGCACTTGGCCTTTGGTTGTCCTGAGAGAACACAATTCCTCTCTTGGCAATTACTTCCTTCAGACAATTCAATTGTTGACAGTACAGGTCCAAATGAAGAGTTTGGCATGAGCGGAAATTCTCTGCCAATATCACCAAACCCATAGCAAAACTTTTATTTCATGGTTTGACCACCGTTTGCGCCGGCTCACCGCGATTCGATCACGATCGTTTTCGCTTGACGTTGTCGTAAGTGATCGACTTTTCATCGTCAGTAAATTCCTCTTTTGAAATGGATCAATTTTGTTGCACTTCAGCAGCGATTCGCGTATGAAAATTCGCTTTTGTTGCATCCAACCTTATTTAAATAATTCCAAATGGTTTTTGCAGCCATGTTCAACTCCTGGGCAACAAAATTACCGGAACGAAATCGATGTAGTAAAAATTTTGCGTTATTAGATGTTGCAGTACCGGGACCATAAACAAATTTCAGCCACCTGGCTTGCGTTTTTGCCTTTGTCGAAGAAAAAAATGTATAATATGGCATGCTCAACCAAAACTGAATCAGGCAATCACAAAACCGTCGAAGAAGTTTTTTTAGAACGAAATTTTAACTTTATAACGCCACATAGCGTAATCGATAACACTTTCACAAAGCGATATACAGATTATTGAAGCCACTTATTGCAAAAATAATATTGGTTGTCCAAAATCTTCGGAGCTTGAGTAGAAATAGTAGGGACACCTCTGACAATTTTAATTTAAGCAGAACTGCGGTACCCTGGTGCTTTAATGGGAGATGTGCCAATCTATAATGTATATATCTACCATATATAAAATTGTAACAGTATGAAACTGCTTACGGCAATGCTGAGAGGTATCAGGTTTCCACATCTAAAAGCCAAACTTAACTTTCAAAAAAAATAGTTTATAAAAGTTCAATCATTTCCACATTCCCCCAAGCTACATTCTTTCAAACTACAAGTATTGTTCCTTGATCGTACATAAATTCTTATACTTTTTAACATTTTATAATGTTGAAATTTAGATATTTTACTGTTGTTCTAAAGTAATGTGCAAAAATAAAACAAAAGTTCCACATTTTACTCTAATTTGCAGCGGAAGCGTACTTAAGTTCTGCAGTATTTTAATTATCATATGTTCATACTCACTTATGGATCCAAAACTCAGTAAATGCATACAATGTAAATTTTATTTTTTCTACTCTCATATTTTCAAAGCATTTCAATTGCTCACAATTATATTAGTATAAAACATTCCCCCTTCGCGTCAGTGGTACAAATTATTGCGATTTTCGGAAATTTAAGTGCATTTAGTGCATAAATATTTTTCACAACTCGCATAAACTCCAATAAAAGTTCAATAAAGTGGCAGCAACACAAAAGTGTTGACACATTTATGTAGCGCACATAAAGGCGCCCTTCCGGTACTTCTGTACGTGTATGAAAGTATGAAAACGAGTATGAGAAGCACTTATTAGGGTGGTCAAACACATTTGTGAAGTATGCTTGATGTGAGTGTTTTATTCCTTTATATACACATGTATCTATCAGCAACACTTGCTAGCGGTACGTTTGTAACTTTACATTAATTTTTCGAGCCGTTCCGATATTAGACAAGGTTTAGATAGGATGATTCTCTTTCGTGCGCCTTTTTCTACATAATGCTGGAAAGTGTGATACGCGCCGCTAATCTCAACCGCAGTGGCACTATTTACTCTAAAATAGCAATGCCACTGGGGTACGCAGATAACATTAACATCATAGCCTTTGAGGACAGAGCCGTCAGCGCAATATTTTCCAGCCTAGAAATAGAAGCGAACGGTAGCTACGTCAGTAAATATAAATTTGAAAAAGTGAAAGACTTGTATCTTGTAACTGTAACTAGCATAAACACCACAAACAATCTAAGCCTGGAGATCGAAGGACAAAAATCACGCTCTATAAGTCTCTTATCATTCCCGTCCTATAATACGGCGCAGAAACATGAACCATGACGAACCGATGTAAAAAAGCACTTGAAGCATTTAAGAGAACTCCGAAAATTCTTTGGAGCCCTTTGACGAGTACTGAAAAAGGTAGAACCACGAAATTTTACTGCGACACGGATATAGTCAAGCGCATAAATATCCAACGAATACGCTAGTTAGGACCTGTCGTATACGTGGAAAACGTTGTTACAGCATATATCTCTTTCGGAACCCAATAGAAGTACCTAGTGCGTAGATACCTGTCTCCACTTGGCGAAGTTTTGTGTTCTCGGGCCAGATCGACCAACGGTTGTAGTGCCAAAGAAGAAGAATATACACTCATATTAAGCACTTAATCAAATTTACTTCAGTGTACTATATGCATTCCGAGCTTCACTACCAGGGTTTTCATAAACAAACTTTCGAAATTTTGGTGATATCGGTTTAGTGGATTGATCGGTCAGTTTGGATCAAAATCAGACAGCTATACGATTAAGTACTTGTATGAAAAACTCTTTCATTTTATGAGATAAGTTTACGAAATTTTGTTTAAGGCAATGGTGCAATCTTCAAAGAAATTGTTTATATTGGATTTCTATAGCATATAGCTGTCATACAAACTTACCGGTCAAAGTTCTTGTAGGAAATTTTTTGTATTTGTGAAATGTATTATGGCTTCGGTGTAACAGAAGTCAATTTGTTATAAATATAGTTTACCTAGTTTGAAAAAATCGAACATTAGCAATTTTAAACCACAAAAATTCAAGCACCCTAATGCATATGTATATCAATACAATTTTTTTTTTTCATTTATGCACTACTTATGCACATGATTCCCTATAACATTACAAATGTGGATGGAGCTGTAAAACGCCAAGCATTTTTTCCCAACACACTAAGGCAAAATCAAGGGAAGAGTCAACCATTTGTGGCAACATTTTGCACGGTGAGATCGTTTTGATCACACTTCATAAAATTAAAAGTAATTTTCATATGCTTTGTGCCACAAACTTACATAAATATTTGCACATATGGGCCATATTTGAAGGCAATACATACTTACTTATATATAGTAGATGTACATATATATGTAGATACATATGTGCTCCGTTTTTATTTCGTAATTTCACAGCGAATTGCATGGCTGAAAATTGTGTTTCCTGTTCAGACATACATTTTAAATAAATGTTTCTAAAGCTTGTTTTTGTTGTTCGAAATTTATTTCATTTCATAATTTGTAGTACAATATTTCAAAAAGAAATGCATATTTGAATACAAGAGCACGAAATTTCCGGCGATGAAAGGCACACAAATTGTACTTTATAAAAAAAATTACTAAAAAATTTTAAGTAGCATTAATATTTTACATTGGTTTGAAAATTAAACCCAATGCAATATCGCCAAAGCGGCGACAAGTACAACAATCGAAGAGCTTACGAAAGCGGCACCATCACGGGCAACGGGGATTTGGGTGCTATTGGCGGAAATGAAGTTACAGCCGACGCCTTCGCAGGTGAAACAGTTCGTCTCATCCACGCAGAGTTTGCTAGCTTGAGCGGAAGAGAGGCAACCGCGTTGGAAGGAATTTGTTTGGTTCTTGCCTGCAAAAAGTTGAATATATATATATCAATAATTTTTTTTCTTATACGCCATCAAAACAAATAGCATACCATTATTTCTAACATAACATTTATCGCCCAATTTGTAAATCGGACATACCGTGGGCCGGGCATAGACATTTGTAGCACAACCACTGGTGGAGTTACCCGTGCATTGCAGGCACTGAGAGCGGCTTTGCGGGAAAACGAGACGATTGCAACCTTCGGCAAAGGAGCAAATCAAGCACTGCAACTCATTGTGACAAGCAACCGCCGTGGCGTTGTCCAACTCAGAAGCGCAGCCACGTATCGTATTACCGTCTAGTAGGTTAAAAAAAAAGCAATAAAATTGTCGAACAAATTAAGGAAAAGGTCAAAAAGTTCTATGTCAACTCACTGAGGACTCTCGTATAGCAAATGGATGTATTCACACTGCAAGTTTTGGCCAAATAGTTTTCAGGATCTGTTGCACATTTTGGATCAGTAGCAGAGTTACACTGCACGCAGGCATCTATAAAAGAAATTAATGAAAAAAAGCTTTAAAAGACATTAACTTAAGGGAACATATCCACTTGCAAGTCTCAAAAATTGTGTTTTTTTTTGTCATTTTTTGTTTTAAAGAGGCATTTTGAATAAAAATAATGCACAATTACAGAATCTAATGTACTTTAATAATCGGCGATTAATTTTGAAATTGTTTTCACTTCCTTCATCCTGTAGCCGATCTCTAAGAGGATCTCCGTAAGAAGGTGTCTGACGGTGAGGAAGATTTTTCTGCACTTTTTTACACTAAGTTAGAAAATCTTACAAATACGCTCATATCTTCGAAACTAGTTGTCGAATCAACCACAAATTATCGAAGAATTTTCTCAAATATGCATATCTACATTAGACGTTCATATATATGTATGTATATCAAAAAACAAGAAATTGAATTTTTAAATTCCCAAGTGGATATAACCCCTTAGAGTTTATTTTATTATTAGAAAGTACATTTCCTCTCTCAGTTAATTTTAAACCAGTTTCACGTATACTGAATTTCATTACGTAATACTTTCAAACTTCATTTGTAACTATATTAATGCAATTATTTTTAAATTTATATATTACTCCGGAAATGGCCTAATGCTAACATAAACAAATATTTCGCATTGTACTACTCATGTTTGGTTAAGATAAGCACTGTTTTATCTTAGTTAAATTGTTTCCCTGACTTCAATCATATACTGGAACATATATTATGTTGTGTATGTGCTTTAATATAATATTATATTATCTTTGCAGGGCATAAGGTTTATAGGTGTGGCTATCGATTTATCGCTAATGATCGTTATCATGAATAGAGCAGCCATAAAATATTGCTTTGTAATATCATAAATATTTTGAGGTTTCCATAAGTAGCTCAGCATTAAAGTGAGCCAAAACACTAACCTATTGAATTTCTGGGTTAAAATTAAACACTCACATATATGCAGAAAAATAATATCCGTGCAAGTCAGAAATTTTGGCTTAATTTTAGTATATGTGAGCATTCAAAGACTCCAATTTGAATAATATGTAAAAAATGTTTTTTTTGTAACAAAAATACCATAACTTTCAAACAGCCTAGGAACAATTTTTTACTTTGCGGATTCTTGCAGACCATAGAATTTAATAAAAAATCTACTTAAGCGGTTTTTCATTCAAAAATTCGTATATTTAAATGCTTTGAAAGAGAGAGCTTTTTAATATGTACCTATGTGGCGGTCAGCCTCTCTCTCTTTCTCTGTTCTCCATTACAGTTTATTGCTAAAATGACTTCGCTATGAAAGACAGAGGGCTATTTTACCCTTGAGTAGTGATTAGTTTCATTTTTAAGTAATGATTATTAAGTAATAATATTTTTCGAGGAATCATTCAATTTTCTCCTTTTTGCTTTTACATAATTTTTCGTTGTACATTGTAGTGAAAATATAAAAATATTTATAAAAGTTTTTCAAATCAGAATGCATTTTATAATGCTGATCGAAAGGCCCTTATCTCAAAACGCCCGTGCACTACCCTTGTGGAAATGATATCTTCAACGGTGGCTGCGTACCGCTAGGGTTTAAAAAAGGGGTTGGTTATGAAGCACTGTTGTTAGTCTGAAATATTTGTTATATTTCTCAAACAAAACTTTCACGGTTTGTTACACTTAATATTTTCCATTCGGTAGTTTATTTTTTATTATTAAGTCTCTTAAACTCGAAAAAGCCAAAAACAGTCTACCCTTAGTCCTGGTACTTAAAACTTAATTTGTCTAATTGCAGACTTTACAAAGCTAATAATTGTAGCAAAGTACAAATACAATACATTTATACCTTAGATATGAGGAGTCATATACAGGAAAAGGTTCATGTATTTTATTTACTGTACATGCATTTAGTAAATAATAACATGGTATTGAACATTGTACACATAAATTCGATACAGAACTCAGAGATAAGATTAGCTTACTAAGTAAGCACACATTTTTAAACAGTTATGTCACTTAAGTTTACTTACTTAGTCACCTTCACTTAGTAATTTTAAAAATAATAAATTTGCAATATTCAAATTCAAAATCTGAATGAATAATATTTTTAGAATACAAAATACTTGAAGAATTCCACCAAAATCGCAATTTGAAAAAAATTTTCACTTCACTGCCATTTTTCATTGTGTGTAACTCCATGTTGATATATGTATGTATAAATACAGATATTCTCATATACACATACATATATCATAACCTATATTTCATTTGCTTAGTATTAACTACTGATTTACCCCCGTGCACATATGCCAAATAGGCCACAGCTGCAATCACCAATACGTAGAACTTCATTTTTTACAACTACTTTTTTAACTTAGATTAATTTTTATAATAATTCGTAATCGTATTCCGCCAAATGCTTGCTTACTTGTTAGACTAAAATCGGTAACTGAATGTCAGCAGTTGAAATATTGTAGTTATCAGCACCTGCTAATATGTAACTGTACAATACCACTTTATCAGTTCTTTGGATGTGATAAGAAGGTGTAAGATAAAGATAACTTACTCACTTCGTTTGTTGCGTATTTTTGTGTAAAAAACTACACATTTTTGCTGTAGTGGTGCTTCGAAAATGCTTCATAACTGTGTCACATACAAGTTGGTTGAAACGTTTCTGCTCTCACCAAGAAATAGTACTACCAGATCCAAATTTAATTTTTTCTCAAGTTGGTACATCTGTCGTGAGAACACATGCAAAGTTACAAGTCAATCTGTCAATTAATTCTTTGTTTACAAGCTACTTGAAGTTGACGTGTCAGAGTATTTTTTTAATATGGAAAAAATGTAATCTTGCGCAGTGTTTAGATTCTTTGTTTTAAAAGGTTTAAAAACAAAGGAAATTTATGAACAATTATTAGATGTGTATAAATAGTCCTCACCTTAAAAACGCACCGTGGTGTTTTGGGCTGGTGAATTTAAACGTGTTCGTGCTAGGCTTGAAGACGATCCACGCGAAGGACAACCAAAAACCGCAAACACACCAGAAATCATTGAGCAAGTTCATAATATTGGTAGTGAAGATCCAAGTTTGACTAAGCGTGAAATTGCTAAAGGCATAGGCTTCTTGGACGAACGAGTACTTCATATCTTACATGGAAAATTACATATGAAAAAGCTGTTTGGAAAGTTAGTGCCGCACACGTTAACAATTCAACAAAAACTGGATCGAAAACAAATTTCTCAGCATAATTTGGAGTGTTTTAAGCAGAATAACCGAGTTCTTGCGTCGTTTTATAACTATGGATGAGAGTTGGATCTAAATTGAAACAACGATTGAACGTTTACAGTGGACTGAAGCTTGCTGTTCAGGTCCAAAGCAGTTGAAATCACAACGATCAGCAAAGAATGTTATGGCATCAGTTTTTTGGGATGCAAAATGATTATTCTTGATTGATTAGTGTTTTTCGTCAAATGAAGAAGCTATTTCAGCCGTAGATTGGTACTTTGCAGAGCTTCCGGAAAGTCATTATAGAGATGGCATAAAATTATTGGAGGATCAATGGAATAAGTGTATTGAAGTTAAAGGAGATTATATTGAATAATAAAATGTATTTCGTACCAAAAACAATATTTTTTTTTTCAACCAAGCAGTACACAAACAATATCTATGTAGTTTTTAGAAGGGTCGCAATATTTGTAATTTTTTTTATTTTAAAGAAAAATAATTGTGTCTGCGGGTCAAAAGAAGGAACTCGACATTCGACGATAAAATTAAGCAAAATCACAGGTTTAAGGAACGTCTATAAATTCAACTATATAAATTTCGTATAAACGAACATTTCTTTAAATGAGATTGAACACTTGTCATTAATTTGGCACTTGTTAATTCAGTATTCGTCATTGAATGCCAGGAACTTATAAAAACCGATAAACTGTCCAAATATCGCGTCATCGGTGCGAACGTAAACTTTGGAATATTTTATTTGCCCATCTTATCTAATGCAAATATGTAGAATAATATATATATGTATATATATACAAAGCAATCCATACAATTTTTTCAAACTTTGAAATAATAAATACAGAATCTAATCTGGAATTTTTGCATTATGCTTTTACCGGTATTGACATAGGGCGCCATTCGTTTTGATAATTTAAAAAGTTAAGAGGGTCTTTATTCATTGCTTATGGTATTAACCGTCGCTAATGCTGAAGTGTGTGCAAATTTTTTCTTCTCATAAATAGTCCAAGTTTTACTTGTGATTTAAAGACCCTGACGTTTGGCCAATATGTGGTAGATAAAAATATCGGTGCAGCACAAGAAATCTTTTTATTTTAACACCATGTAGTATATCTCGAACTGTCCATCTCATACGAATTTCACATTTTGTAAAGTTTTTAATTTAAAGAATAATATATAATATTATAAATCGTAGAAAACACAACTTACTCTTTAAAATCCATATTCTATAATTATTTCATAGCACTAAATCAAATAACTTATTTAGAAACTCGGGCATTGGTGGGAACCTACGGAAATAACTCTCAAGGCCTGCTCACTTAGTAATGAGTGTAATATTCGCAAAATTTATATTTTTTGAAAATGTTTCATGCTTGTAAAAGGTTTTTGATCGAAGTCATAGGCAGAGTTGGAAATTAAAATAATTTAAATTATATAGTTAGTATCACAAACCTGTGAGCAAGGTTTCTCTGACATATGTTTTTTATTGACCACGAAATTGCCTATGTTTATTTCACCCTTGTAACTGTAGACAAACAGTCTATCTCTGTCTGACAAAATTGATTTGCTGTTTTTAGATATCTATGAGAAAGTTTGCTCAAAATTGGTTTGAAATCTATAGATTCGTTATATTGGGGGTAAAAAAAGATATCGTAAGGCTAACCTCCTATCTAAGATATAATTGCAAATAATCTTACGAAAATACTAACCAATTAAGAGACATTTGAACAAAAGATATTTCTAATCAGAATTGCCATGCCTACCGATTTTTTATATTATGGAGGATTAGGAAATATATAGACGTATCCTTTTTTTAGAACCAAGTTATTTTGGTGGTTGAGTTCGATAAATTTTAATCAAACTGAAAATATCTTCACATTTGTAAACATATTTATTGATGTTATACTTTTTATACCCTAAACAGGGTACATTAAGTTTGCCATGAAGTTTGTTACACCCAGAAGTAAACGTCGAAGACCCTATAAAGAATAAATACATATGTATACATAAATGATCCCCTCAGTTTTTGAGGTGTCGATCTGAAATCGATCACGTTCTTTTCTCTTCTTTTTATTTGTCGGAACTGCCGACAGCGGACCCCCATATAGATGCCATAAAAACAGGACGATCCAAATGAAATCCTTGTATGGAAAACTTTTTTATTTATGAAGTGCATTGTACTTTCGTTGCAACCGAGGATAACGTTTCTTCTCGTTTTTTGTTAGACCGCTTTATAAAGTTAACATGTATTTTCATTCAAATATCCTATAAATTAATTATCAGAGATATTTCAGTTAAAGTTTAAGGTCCTGGGACATATGTATATAAGCAGTGGCATGTGTTCAAACTTTGGTTTCTATAGTTTTTTTTTTAATATGTATTACAAAGTCAACTGTTGAAATTCAAAATTTCGTTATATTAGAAGTTGGCGTGGTTAAAAAATGGAGATTCGGGACGGGTTGCT